GCAACTGTTTATGCTAGAATGTTTACCACTAAGCTCTCTCTATCCCCGACCCCAACCCATAACCCAACTGCCCAATGACTTCTTTTCTTTCTTCAAATCTTTTCACCACCAATGGACTAATATACCCTGTGACATTTAATTCCTCCTTATACAACTGTCTTATGCTACTCCTTTTAGGCAAATGTCTGACCCAAAAGAAGCTATGATAGAAAACACATATCAAGATACACACCCGACTTGATTTTGCTCTGAAATAAAATATATTCAAGCAAAGTTGGAGATTTCCCTGCTAAATTTCATATACAAATCAGGAATTCAAAGAGACGCCCAAAAACCTCAAGTGAGAAAGCTAATGCAAGAGAACTCAGCCCTGTCATTATGAAAGATTAGAAGCTCTGAGTGTCATGGCTTCTAGAAAGAGTTTGGTCCTTCTTATTACCCTTCCACAAAATGTATTTACTAGAAAAATGTTAACTGAGTCTAAGTCATGATCATCTTTCACCTGGACTACTGCAACGGTATCTTAACCAGTCACCCTGCTTCGACTCTTGCTTCCCTAGTCTCTGTAATGAAGCCACATTCTTTCAAATATGTTTAATTCTTTTTAAACACCAGTTATTTTTGTATCCTTCTACCCTAATGACTTACTGCACACATGAAATAAAATCCGAACTCCTTATCCATCCATTGCCCACATGGCTAACACCTTACTGGCCTCCTGCATCAGAGTTCTCCCTAGCTCACTCAACCACATGGGTCCTTGACTGCTCCTCAGGTAAGTGCCAGAACTCTGCACTTTTTGTGTCTCCTGCCTCAACTACTCTTCCCCAAACACATGCATGGTATTCGTTCTCATTTGATTCAGATGCCTGCTCAACCAACACCTAATTAGAGGACTTTTCTGATCATTCAATCTAAAATACCAGTCTCTCCCCACTCTCTCCAACACTCACTAGCCCTTTGTACTGCTTTATATTTCTCCATCGTTCTGGCTGATATCATATATTCATTTTTCACTGCCTTCCTTACACTGGCCAGAATATAAGCTTCATGAAAGCATCAGGATCCTTTGCTCATTGCAGCATCCCCAGGGTCTATCTGTGTCTGGAATATGGTGTACTGCTCAATAAATACTAGTTGAATGAATGAATGAATTTTAGGTGGGGACTTTCTATGTGCCAGGTACTGGGAAAGGTGAATGATGAATAGGATCTAGTTTTTCCCCTTGAGGAATTTACAATTTAGCAATGAATGAGACATATATACAACTAATAGAATGGAATGTAACATGGGCTTAAAGTGTTAGAGGAAAACTGTGGAGTGAAGTAGCTAGAGATAAGGCAGGACAGACTGGGACCAGATACTGAGGGTCCTTGAGGTTTAGGCTAAGGAGCTGGTTCTCCATCTGAGCACCCACGATGGAGCTCTAAGTAGAAATGGGAAAGAAGAGATGGATCTAAAATTAGAACTGAAAGAACTTAGTGACTATCTGGATAAAAGGAACTGAGGAGTTCTAGGTTTCTAGGAAATGCCACTGGCCAGATGGAGGAAGAATAAGTTGGAAGAAAAATATAGTTAGTAAATCTGGTTTTACACAAGTTGAGTTTGAGGAACCTATAACCACCACACTAAGTCATAATAATTTCTCTGGTGACTTGGAAACTCTATAGTCCTGCTCCTTGGCTTTTTCTTCAGGTGTTCACCATGTTCTTGTAGAGCTGAGCCACATGTATCACACATAGGTGCCACTGTGTTAGCCATGATTTAACCATGCATGAAAAATCCTTAACGTCTTCAGCCTTCATCAAATCTGTAAGTTTAATATATTCTTTATCATGCTTTCTTAAAACAAGGGATACCTGTTTTGCAGTGAAGTCTGACACAAATGCAGAGATTTCCCAGGAATTTTTCCTAGTCAGTGGCTTGAAAGTCCAATTCTAAATGGGGAGACAACATTATTTACAATTTTAAAAACCAAAAAAGTTCTCAAGGACAGGCATTATTTTGCTTTCCATTTTGGGAGGTCATGGAAATATCATGTGGATTTACGTATATATAAACATATATACATACAGATATGCAGGGGAGACATTAAGAATGAAAGAAGGGAAAAATATAAGTACAAAAAAAAAAACCCAAAACCCATGTTTAACATTAAAGGACAATTGTATACAACATAAGGATAGAACCAAATGTTATAATGTCACATATTCAATATGAAGATTTTCCAGCACCTCAAACATTTAGTTAAAGGGTTTGTTGTTGGGAGTTTTTGGACAAATTCCAGTGATCTCATTTCTTAATTAAGTGATCCTCTATAGTTTTATCCTATGACTCTTCTCTAAATAGTAGAAGATACTGAAGTAAGGATAGACTTATTTTTTTAAAGGATACAAGACTCTTCAAATCGAAGTAAAAATATCCTGTTGGGAATTGCTGGCCAAATAGGCTTAATTTGGAGAAGTTGTATAAGACAGGCTCCTAACCAGCACACCTCCTAGTGGAGATTGGGGGATAGGGGTCAACCCTTAGAAGAGTCAAATACAAAAAGAGGGAGAGGTTAACTGCTAAGAATATCCCATAACCAGAAGGATCCAAAATGCCAGATAAATAAAACTGCTATATTGCAATAACCAAATAACTAGAAACAAAAGGTCCCTCTGATACTACAAAAGATTTTAACCTTCTCTATGAGAGCCAGGGAAAGGTAGTTTATCCATTTTCACTGCTTGATGTGTCATCTGTATCTTTCTTCCTACCTTCTACCTTCTACCTGTCTGGTGGGCCAAATACACTGAAGAGGTCAGAAGGAAAGAGACAGGAAACCAGCGATGGGCCCCAGTAGAAGGACAGGGTGGGTGATGCTTAGGATGATCATGACAACAGTTTGCTTTCATTTCCCACGTCCCTATCCCACCAGAGGTGGAAATAAGAGAGAACTTAGTTGAATGCATTCTGGACACAAATGCTCTGAAGCTAATAAAATTCAAATATAACTGGCCCATCCAATGATGTTAGAATCAAATAAAACATAGTTGGATATGAAAACAGAAATCATCTAGACTGAGGGGCCATTATTTAGTTTGTGAGAAAAACTAGGTTCCTAAGATGTAAGGACCCACCCAAACCACTCAGCAAGTTAGGTCACAACTGAGGCCAGATCCCAGGCTGTCTGCATTCAGCACTGAGTTAATTTTGTCCAAGACACAAATCAACTGGCTTCTTGTTTTGAGCAATTTAAATATATAAATGACTACAGTATTCGCAATCAGTACCAGGAAAACACAAAATCATAAACTTGAAAGAGAAATAGAGTTGAGGAAAATTCTCTGTTGGGAAAATTGTAATTATTAATATACTTTAAGAAAATAGTTTTACGGTTAAGAGGATACTTTATAAGAATTAGAATAAAATTACCTAAAAGTCATGGCTCTGTGAAAGATTTGGATTTGTACCTGTTACGATTTACTCAAAGTTATATTCTGGGGCAGTAAACTATTTGCTTGAATGTAAGAATTTTGATGAAAAACCGGAAAAGGAGCAAACTTACAAAAATAAAACGACGACATCAGGGAAAACCAAGGAAGCATAATTTGAGTCGACCTTGCCTTTGTACAGTACTGGCATTTTGTTCCAATGGGTTTTTAGGAAAAAAGTTTAAAAGTCAAAAAGCCAAAAGCAGAACTAAAGTTTGGCAGCAAAAATAATGCATTTAATAAACTCCAAGTATCTTGTATTTCTAAAGCCTATTCCTATTTATTAGCCTCTTAAAACTAAAGCAACAACAACAAAGAAAGGTCTTCCACCAAGTCAAATACAGCCCAGACCATCAATTCTATTTCAGATTCAGCTTAAACTCTAGGACTGTCAAACCATCCCCATATAAACACTGGTCAGTTAAACGGCTTTCTTTATACCTGTTAGCACCGTCCATCCCTGGGAAGATGGCAGGAACTACTTTTATCTCAATTTGCAGATATATAATTTATCAGGTAAAAAAAATAAGAGTCCTTATAAAACATACTAGGAAAGAACCTTATCATTTCTGCCAAAGAGAGTTCAGCATGAACTCTCAGTGTGCATTTTGTTTTCTTGCTGTAAGATGAATTCCTTATTATTTAACCACACAGTGAGTCATGAAACATTCCACCGGAGAGAAACTCGGCTCTTTAACAAACCAATTTCCAACCCTCATTCATGGAAACCATAAGGTGTTCCCTTAACTAAGGGGAAAACCAAACATCAGTGAAGGGACAATATAGGCAACTCAAGTAAACAGCCTGTCTGAGGGGGTCCATGCTGAGTTTAGAGCTTCGGATGTAAAAGCCAGCTTGGATCCACCTGAAAATAAGTGGGAGTTGCCTACTTAAAACCCTGAGAAACTTGCATGGAACAGTCACATATTGCTTTAAGTAGGAGTAGTAGAAGGTGGGAATCCATTCAGGTCCATCCACATCCCACCTACCCAAAGTCATATCCTGAGGGTATTGTTTTCCCAACAATCCAAGCCACTCTGGAACAGCTGTTCTGAATTCTGTGTGAAACATCTTTAAACACATATTGCTAAGGTTCCAGATATCTGTCTCTGTGTGGGAAAAGCTATGCAGCCAATTTACAGTGCTTAGGCCAACTGTTTATTTATTTAATGGGTTAATAACACCAACCAATACTAGGTGGTTTATCTGTTGTTCAATAGCCTGCAGTGTCTGTCTGAAGATGTCTGAGAGTTTCCTTTCTCATTAAGTGAAAATAGAACATCATTTCTAACAGTCTTATTCATCATTCTATATGAATCTTGTATAAAACAGGCAACCAAACAGCGTTTTCTTTTAAAGCTTCCAGACAATAAGTTAGTCCAACAGGGTACGTGGTTAAAAAAGAAACAAAAATTAGTATGTTTTGATCCCAACAAGTTGATAAATTTCATTTCTAAATAATAATTAGATGTTTGGAGTGCAAATCCCATAATTATCGAAATTTAGATCTTTTACTTGACTTACTTGTATTTTAAGAGCAGCCATTGAATTAACCAGAGTCCTACAAGGATCATGCCATTAATTTCACAAATAGAAAAGGCCCACTGCACCCGGTTAAAATGGTCAAAAAACGTGTCCGGTAGTGGAGGCTGCACCTCCTTAGGAGGTACTCGTTCATGGACGACCGAGATCATCACTGTGGTGAGAACAAAACAGGAAAGTGCGTAAAGAAAGGCCAGAAAAGTCTTGCCCCACTCCATGGGGTACTGGGAGCGCTCCAGTTCTGGCATGGGGATTTTTATCATCTCTTTCCTATACCCATTTGGCATCCCATTGGGTTTAATCTTGATGCTGAAGCTGCCATCGGGGGTGGGGATGTCTACACCAATGTTGAGGTGCCCATTGGCGTGGCCGTTCTTGTGTGCTTCCAAATGGTGCTCCATTTTCAGAGTTTCTATCATGTCCAAGAGCCGCTGCCCGTTGTCAGAGGAGACTCGGCACAAGGGGGCTTTTTTGAAATCCTCTTGGGTTAGGTCGATCAAGTCCTGGCCTGTGAAATGCTCCAGAGGCTCACAGTATTCTGGCATAGCATTCTCCAGCAGCCAGTCTGCCACCTTCTTGGGTGACCAGTAAACCACTTCCGTCATTGTACTGACAGACAGCAGGCAGACCCCAGCTCACTCTTGGCAGGTCAGCAGTCACTGTTCCAATAGGGCAGGACACTGACCTGCCTTGGCTCGTTCATCCTGTGGGGCTTCATGAGCAGAGACTTGTTTGGCAAGATGGTCAGGGCAGTTTTTAAACACCTCATGTAGCTGTCCAGGGTTCCCGAGCACCTGAGCATTAATTCACCTCATTTTTGAGCAGGATTCTTCCTTCTGTGAAAGCAAGAAAAAATATCAAGATACTGTACTTCTAAATTACCCCCCCTCAAAATGCAAAGCCTTATATGCATAAGGAAAGTGGAAAACCAGTTATTCGTAAACTCAATAGTTTTCAAACATGTACTAGTTTCAGGTACCACTGATTCCCTGGTTATTGGTCTTCTGTGACACAGCATTAACTTGGATCTGAAGACAGATGTTGTCAAAGGAGACATGTTTTATAGAATTTCCAATCATCTGTTTCCTAAGAAGCAATTTAAGAGTGCTTTGGACACTTTTCAACCTGGTCAAGAGATCAGGTATTCTCTTTGTCCTCACATGCTTCCTGAGACAATATAAAAGAATAAAATGTATTTGTTTATCTCGTGAAGAATGTTTAAAAATGTACATAATATATAGCAACTCATAGAATTGCTGAGCTTCAAGATCATCTGGCTCAATACTTGTATATTCTTTTTTCAAAAAGAAAATAAAATCAGTGAGTCCCCTTTTCCAAATGTGCTTAGTTCCCAAATGTATAAAAAGATCTACAAATGCCGCTGCTTGGGTTGAAGCACAGGTAAAGGGCCAAGGTCCTGACTCCTCTGTTGATCTTTCTTAATCTCAGCCCCTCTCAGGTTCTGTGGAACCCCACGGTTTAAAAATTAAGGATCTGATCTAACTCCTTCATTTATAAATGAAGAATCAGAGTTCTAGAAATGTCAAGAAACTTGCCCATGGCCAAGTGGCAGTCTGCATAGAAGTGTTATAAGTTTCTGAGTTCTAGTTCAGTAGATTTACTTATTAAAATATCTGATTACTTATGTGAAAATAGCCAAAGGCATATCTGTAAGGAATATTCTAAAGTAGGATTCAAATTTTATAAATATATGCATAAATAGAAACATACATAAATAATATGTATAATATTTATAATATATATATAACTACAGCTACTGTACATAGGTTGAGAATCCCTAATGCAAAAATTCAAAATCCAAAATGCTCCAAAATCCTAAACTTTTTAAGCACCAACATGATAATCAAAGAAAATGCTCATTGGAGCGTTTCAGACTTATGGATCCATGCTCAACAGAGTGTATTCTGTAAATATTCCAAGGTGCCCCCAAGATTGAAATCTGAAACACTTCCAGGCCCAAGCATTTTGGATAAGTGATGCTCAACCTACATAATATTGCATAAAACAACTGGAAAGAAATATATCACATATTAACTGGAGTTATACTTGATGATAGTTCTGCAGGTATTTTCTACTTTTCTCCCACCTATTTTTCTTTAATAAGCATAAATTACTTTTAAACAATCATACAAAATAAAAAACAAGAAAAGTTAAAATTAAAAGACCTAGCTCCTTAACAAAGCACAATAATAGCTAATAAAATGTGGCCCTTGGCAGAAGACAGACCACAGTTCAACTCTCAGCATCTCCCATACATAATCCATTATGTGAGCTTCAGCTTAGTCACCTCTAAAATGAAGATAATGATAATCAAGTATTTCCTTCACAGGGTTGTTGTCAATATTTAACTAAAACATCTTAAGTGAAAGTTCATGAAACATAACCTAGCTCCAAAAGCAGTGATTTTCAAATGAGTCTGTAAGTACCCATATCCTGTTTTCTTTCTCAAATTATCTATCATATCCAGTAACCACTGTCCACTACATCTCACTATGAAAAAAACTCTATATACCAGTGGGCTAATTTTTTTCTCAAATGATGACTGTTGCAAAGATCTGGAAATTTAAGAGCTTGAAATGCTGTTTCCCTGAATATGTTTTTGCGAAATAATAATCTGATAAAATCTTCCAAGCTTTAAAACAAAATCTATAGCCAAATAAGCCTAGGAATGCATACTGTAATCTCTCCTGAGGACAGCAGTATGCATTAGGATATTAAAATCTCCAGGAAATCCTACAATAAAGGAACTATTCACCAGGATTTCTCAAACTGACTTCATCAAGGCTGTCCTATTCCTTGCCCCTTTTCCTATAGGACTCATCTCTACTGAATCCCAAAATCCTTGTCAGGGGGAGACATGGTCTTAATCTATTGCTCAGGCTGGAGTGCTGTGGTGCAATCATGGCTCACTGCAACCTCTATCTCCTGGGCTCAAGTGATTCTTCCAACTCTGTCTCTGAAGAAGCTGGGACCACAGGTGCATGCCACTGTATCCAGCTGATTTTTTAAATGTTTTGTAGAGATGGGGGGTCTCACTATGTTGCTTGGGCTGGCCAAAATCTACTCTAGAAGGAATCCCATCTTACTCGGGGAGTCCCAATCTTACTCTGAGAGTCCACTCCCAGTTTTCCAGCCCATATAACAACCAATCAAATGGCAGTAATAGCTTTTAAAGATTTTCCAGACTTTGCAAACAAACTAGGTGTTTGTGTGCGCTTCCATAGTGCTGTGCACTTTCCTTGTCACACCTTTCTGTGACTAAGTGTCTGGTTAGCCACCCCCCCTACCCCAAGAGCCTGTGACTGACTGTGGAGAGCTGCAATGTGAAGCACCCATATATCTCACATGCCTGGGGCTCAGAAGGTGCTCAATCAATGTCTGCTCAGTATCTTCCAAAACATTCCTTAGACCTAGTAATATGTAGATGACTTAATGGGAAACAAATCTGCTGAAAACACAATTGAGAATGAAAATGGCTGTAAAACAATTTGGATGGGCAAGCAGAATAAGATTGGCATTCTCCAGAGAAATGTAAAACCAAAGTGCATCTCTGACCACTTAAAGCCATGATAAAGGAACTTCAATTGCCACAAGTACTACCCAGAGAGTGTCAAGAACACACGCATGCCAAATGGGAGTTCTGGCGGAAGGTCAGGAAGAAAAGGGGACCTCCTTGGCCTCAGACCCAAGGCCTCCCCTCAAACACTCTTCAGCAGAGTTAGGAAAACAGCCAAAGGAACCTTCAACATCTTGAAGTGACTGTGAGAACTCTAAAGACATATGCTCAGTGGAGTATTCAGGCCCAAGGGAGATGAACACAGGCTTTTCACCTAGGTTTTTCATTTCCCCCTTGCCCAGCACAGGAAGTCAGCCAGGACAGAAAACTCCCTGAGAACCACAGACCCCAGACAGAGGCCAAAGTGTTATTTCAGTTCTCTCTGATGGAAAGAAGAATCACAAAATATCCTCTCAAGAGATAATCAACTTTTTAAAAAAATTTTATCTGTTTACTTGTTATTTTACTTTAAGTTCTGGGATACATGTGCTGAACATGCAGGTTACCTAGGTATACATGTGCCATAGTGGTTTGCTGCACCTATCAACCCATCATCTAGGTTTTGGGCCTCTCATGCATTAGGTATTTGTCCTAATGCTCTCCTTCCCCTTTTTCCTCTACCCCCTGACAGGCCCCTGTGCATGATGTTGCCCTCCCTGTGTCCAATTCCCACTTATGAGTGAGAACATGCAGTGTTTGGTTTTCTGTTCCTATGTTAGTTTGCTGAGGATGATGATTTCCAGCTTCACTCATGTCCCTGTTATTTATGAGAGACCCACAGTCAATATCATACTGAATGGGCAAATGCTGGAAGTATTCCCTTTGAAAACCAGCACAAGACAAGACTGTCCTCTATCACCACTCTATTCAACATAGTATCGGAAGTTCTGGCCAGGGCAATCAGGCAAGAGAAAGAAATAAAGGGCATTCAAATAGGAAGAGTGGAAGGCAAATTGTCTCTGTTTGTAGATGACATGATTGTATATTTAGAAAACCCCATAGTCTCAGCCCAAAATCTCCTTAAGGTGATAAGTAACTTCAGCAAAATGTCAAGATACAAAATCAATGTGCAAAAATCACAAGCATTTCTATACACCAATAATAGACAGGCAGAAAGCCCAATCATGAGTGAACTCCCATTCACAATCACTACAAAGAAAATAAAATACCTAGGAACACAACTTAAAACAGATGTGAAAGACCTCTTCAAAGAGCACTATAAACCACTGCTCAAGGAAATAAGAGAGGACACAAATGGAAAAAAAATTCCATACTCATGGATAGGAAGAATCAATATCGTGAAAATGACCATGCTGCCCAAAATAATTTATAGATTTAATGCTATTCCTATCAAGCTACCACTGACTTTCTTCACAGAATTAGAAAAAAACTACTTTAAACTTTATATGGAACCAAATAAACAGCCTGTATAGCCAAGACAATCCTAAGCAAAAAAACAAAGCTGGAGGTACCATGCTACCAGACTTCAAACTATACTACAAGGCTACAGTAACCAAAACAGTATGGTACAGGTACCAAAACAGACAATCAACTTTAAAACAGGAAAAAATCAAATGCTAGAAGCCAATTTAATAATGGGCCATCAAGTATCCAACTGGCGTTATAAGCATGGCAAACACACATCTAACAAAGGAACTGGAATCTTGCAAAGATGAGCCCATCAAGGCCTCTTTGAGACAGCAAGACAAATTAATGGCTTCTATTAACAAACTGGAACAACAAAATTATTCCTTCCTTAAAGTAACGCCTGTGCTTCCCCATAACTTAGAATTCTCTATGTACTTATCAAAAAGTTCAGATTTTTCCCTTAGTCTTTAAGGTCCTTCTCTGTAAAGCCTTAGCTGTCTACTCCACTTCATAATCCTTTTCTCCTCCCTGAATTCCTAAACCATGAATATCTATGGTACATAATACAATTAAATGGTCTTATGTGCATGGTATGGTAGAAGGAGTATTAGCCAAGTGAGCCAGGGAGCCAGCATTTGAGAGTCTATCCAGCTACTTCCCTTCTTGACAAAGTCCTTTAGCCTTTCCAAGTCTCAGTTTCCTCTGGGAAATAGGATTAACAACTACCTTATCTACTGATATGGTTTGGCTCTGTATCCCCACCCAAATATCATTTTGAATTGTATTCCCATAATTCCCATTCTCCTCATGTGTTGTGGGAGAGATCCAGTGGGAGATAATTTGAATCACAGGGGTGGTTCCCCCAAACAGTTCTCATGGTATAAGCCTCAC